CCTGTGAGAGCACGACCCTGGAGCGGTACTGCCGTAATCATCGCCCAATCCTCGAGGTTCACGGTCATCTCCCCACATGGAAGATGAAAGATGTGCGTCTCTGGCCACCACCGGTCGATCAAAGCCATGAGAGCTGAGTGGACAAGCGTCGGCGGCTTACGCTTGAACTGCAGGACGAAACCGAATAGTCGGGCTCTCCTGAAGAACGGTGCGTACTGCTCGTTGTACTCCATCTTAACCGTCGTCTTGTGAGCCCTCATCCGTAGTGGTGGCAGCATATGTGAAAATCAATAACCAAAGCATAATTATCATGAACATAATAGTTAGCAACTTGTTTTCATCAATTCGAAAGATTTGGTTTGAAATGGTAATTACCACTCCATTCTCAATGAAACGGACACGGTGACGCTTGTCGAACCTAGGGTCAAGCATGGTGTACTTCGTGCCGACGTCGTCCGCAAGAGGTGGCCTCCTAAAAGAATTGCATAAGCATATCAAAAGATTTTTCAACATGAACTAGAGTTCAACATTAACTACGAAACACATCGATGCATAACAAAAATTAATCACATCCAACAACATCCAACATGCATAATCTCATATATCAAGATGAACCTATGAGTTCAATCTTTGAATAATCATATATCAAGATTATTATGAACATGAACTAAATACAATACATATATCAAGAGCTAAATAAAATACTTTTATGAAGATGCAATCACCATGGTTCAAATGCATCATAACACATATTTCTCCAACAACATCCAACATGCAAAATCTCATTTTTTTGTTAAAAAACAAAAAAAAAAGAACTAGGGTTCATCTTGAGGATTCGTACACTACATATAACAAATATATCAAATATTCATCTCAAATATTCATCATACACTACATCCAATACTTGCATCATAGCATAGGAACATGCATCATCCATCATATAAAAAAAACATTCAAATCAATTATGAACTAGGGTTCATCTTAACACAACCATACCAACTATTCAATATAGTTCATATCTAACACAATATAACATCTAGAATCAACCTAAATCAATCCTAGGGTTATTTTTTTTTCAAATAGGAGAGATTTGAATCGAATAATGCGATGAATCGAAATGTGTTTGATTAAAACTTATTGGAGGGATTGAAAGAGCTTACTTTTCTTTCTTCGGGGCCATCTCGATCCGCAAAATCCGTCAACAAACGAAGAAGATCGGAGGGGGGGAGTGGAG